ATAATAATGTCAATGATTTCACCAATAGATTGAATTTCGGCCTTTAATAATAATAATGTCAATGATTTCACCAATAGATTGAATTTCGGCCTTTAATAATAATAATAATGTCAATGATTTCACCAATAGATTGAATTTCGGCCTTTGATAATAATAATGTCAATGATTTCACCAATAGATTGAATTTCGGCCTTTAATAATAATGTCAGTGGTTTCACCAGTAAAAACAGAATAATAATAATATATATTTGTTATTTTCATAAATGTGTCTTTATATATTGAATTTCGGCCTTTAATAATAATAATAATGTCAATGATTTCACCAATATATTGAATTTTGGCCTTTAATAATAATAATGTCAATGATTTCACCAATAGATTGAATTTCGGCCTTTAATAATAATAATAATAATGTCAATGATTTCACCAATAATTGATAACAGAATCCAAAAGGAGAAGGAAAAAAAAATTAAGTTAATGAGTAATTCAAATATAACCCCAAATATCATATTTTAATAGTCAAAATATTCCATTACTACAGGTGCTGTCTAATTGAATATCACTGAGTGGGGAATGCTTATTTTAAATACCCAAAGTCTGATTTAAACAAGACTTTTCCAGTCAATTTTCCATCCTACTCAAGGAGTTTCCTCATTTGGTGTTCTGTGATGAGACTAAAAAGAATGGAAATTCAGAATATTAAGGTATTCTGTGATAAAACAAAAAAAAAAAAGGAAATTCAGAATATTACGGTTTCTGTGACGAGACTAAAAAGAATGGAAATTCAGAATATTAAAGTATTCTGTGATAAAACTACAAAAAAAGGAAATTCAGAATATTAAGGTATTCTTTGATAGGACTAAAAATAATGGAAATTCAAAATACTAAGATATTCTGTGGTAAGACTAAAATGAATGGAAATTCAGAATATTAAGATATTCTTTGATAGGGCTAAAAATAATGGAAATTCGGAATATTAAGATATGATGTGGTAAGACTAAAATGAATGGAAATTCAGAGTATTAAAGTATTCTGTGATAAAACAAAAAAAAAAAAA